GTGTGTGTGTGTGTGTGTGTGTGTGTGTGAGAGAGAGAGAGAGAGAGAGAGAGAGAGAGAGAGAGAGAGAGAGAGAGAATTTCTCGCTACAGGCCATGCACTCTGGTTCTTCATATGTGGATTGCTGCGACAAGGCAGTAAGTTGTGGCTCTTCCTGTGCATCAAACCGGTGTTCAGGATTCGGCCAGCTGTGAAAGTACTCACCATCTCCATGTTGACAACGAGTTGCAAGTTCTAAGATCTGGTTATGGGCCATGGCCTCTGGTTCTTCGTATGCAGATTGCTGCTAGTAGGGCCAGTAAGTTGTGGCTCTTCCTGCGCATTAAACTGGCGTTCAGCGCCGTTCACGATCTGATTGTTCACAATGAGTTGCAAGTTCTGAGTTCTAGCTACAGGTAATGGCCTCTGATGCAGTGATTCGTCGTCAGCAGATCGCTGTGACAACGGAGCGCTGTCTTCTATGCACTGCCTGCTTTCCTGTCAGACCGTTGTTACACGGCGGACTATGATTTACACAGCCATGTCGATGGGTAGGATGCCGACACACAGATCAACATAAGTATGTGGAGGCAGTGGAGGAGTCATGCTCTCATGATCTGTTTCGTCCTCCTGCGCTGCCTCTCTCTCTCTCTTCGAGTTGTCGCTCTCACTGTGCAGTCGTCACCATCACTGTCGACTCGTCTCCACCATTTGTCAGACGTGCCGTCTGGCGTCAGCCCTCTGTTAATCTTCTCTCCACCGTCAGATCTGTGATGTTTGCGATTTCTGAGCCACAGCTATTGTTGGCCTCAGCGTCCATTTCATTGTGTGTAGATTTTGTACTGAAAAAGGGAGGAAACAGGCTTTCCCCCCTTCCCCCCTCCTTCCATCCAGTTGGATATTTCCTTGTGCCAGGTTGCATTTTGAAGTGAGAGCATTATGACCACCCACCCACCATAGCCGTCCCTTGCATTCACGAGGGTCTGGCAACGTGCCCACATTCGACGTATGGAACGTAAAGCGGCAGATGGGTCTCCTCTGGATCTCCCCGTCTGCGGTCTCGTTTTCTTAACTTTTCTATATAGAGGGAGGGGGGACGAGCGGGGAGGAGCGACTCGCGTTTTGGAGGGGATGTGGATTGATAACTCTTCAAGAACTCGGAGTCGGGTCAACGTCCAAAGGGCTGAACGAATTGTCGGAATACGGCGAATCGGGACTCGATAGTTGAAATCGGTCGTGGCCGGTTAATCGGGAAGGTGGTGTCAGATTATGTCTGAGGACTGAGGAGAAGTAGTTGTGCCCGCCACAGATCACTTGCATTCGCAGGGGAACTTGTACTTGAAGCTCATAGGGTTTGATCCATAGAAAAAGGAAACCGTGTGTGCAGTGTCGGCGGAGGAAGGGGGTACTCTTAGGGTTTGATGTATAGAAAGAGGAAGCCTTGTGCGCAGTGTCGGCGGAGGACGGGGCTTGTCGCAGCTGCAGCGTTAGGTAGACGGAGCCTGTGAAAGCCGTAATTGTCACGCCTACTTGCAGAGCATGTTGTCGTCTATGCGGTCTTTGACTGAAATATTTTACGCTTATCCATCTCAATCATTCATCGTCGAATGTGTGGACTAAGTGCTCAACCACGTTCGCCTGGAGACTGTGTGCCCTCGCTGCTCAGCCTCTGCCGAGAAAGCTTCCTAGTTTGGAAAGATTTCTAGGGTGAGCTGGTGTAGTTAGTTAGTTGTTTACTGATTAGAGGAGGTTGCAGTGACGTGCAGAAGTTTACCCAAAAGGGAAAGTTCTCTCTTTGAGTCTTTGCAGATTGATTACAGCTCGGAAACGGCCGTCTTCTGAGATGCATGAATCTGAGGGTTGGGCGCACCCCTGGTCGTTTTTAGTCATTGAGACCCCCCTCGCTATTTGACCGAGTTCACTGCAGCCTGTGTTTTGACATGGGTAAGCTTATTTTACTACCCCTTTTCTTAGCAAACAAATGCCCCCCCCCCCCCCCCCCCCCCCCCCCCGGCCCCCCGGCTATTTGACCGGGTTCATAGGAACCTGTGTTGTGACATGGGTAAGGCTGTTGCAATCCTTCTTTTTTCTTAGTTCTTAGCATACAATCGAAGACGTCAACGGTCCAAGACTTCATCTATATTCATCAAGTGTTGGATATATTCAGAAAGGCTTCAACACTTGAAGCACCACTGGAAGATAGACGTACGCCAGTTGGGAGTGGGAATGGGTGAGCAGCATACACACTGGGAAGTCTGGACAGTGTCACTCTGCGTTTATAAGACGCAGGTGCACTGTGCTGCTTGACGAGTCAGAATGGCTGAGAGCATCGGTATGTGGTCTATCTCGACCGACGACCAGCGCAGACGATCGGTCATTTTTTTCGCAGACGGAGCAATGATCTGCGACCCGGTTTGTGTATACAGCCGATGACGACAACGACACTTAAGCTGATGGCGCAAGGGAAAAGATGCTCTGCTGAGCAGAAGGCTACTGGGTTGATGAGGAAGGAAGAGAGAGGAGGAGGAAGAGAAAGAGAGGAGGAGGAGGAAGAGAGAGAGAGAGAGAGGAGGAGGAGGAGGCTCCTAAGAGAATAGCAAGCATCGAAACATACAATGGTGCCAAAGCAGATCTCTGCGACATCTCAATGGAGACTCAGAAGGAGTATATAGATATATATACATACTGCATTTGCACCGCTCTTGGGCTAGTACGAGAAGTCAGCGAGACATTGACAGTGAGGCGTGTGTGACTGAAAAGATTAGTTCTGAGGGAGAGGGAGCCTCATTCTTCTTTGGGAGTGTAATGATACTTCAAGTCATTTGACTAGCTGTAGTTTCTTTTCGTCGAGTTTTGATCTCCTTTTTTGTCAACGTTAATGATAGTCCCAATAGAGATAGGGAGGGAACGTGGAAGGCCATGTAAACGTTCATTTGTAGCGAGTGAGAACATTTGCTGCATTGTGTTTACTGATTTGTTATCACTTTCAGTCTCTGTGGTTTTGGTTCCTGTGAACACCGCTCACAACTCTTTTCGTCACAGGTTTCACAGCACGGGACTATCACTGTCATGCTATGCGACTTTCACTTCAGACCAAATGATCCTACTTCGTTTGTCGCTATTGGTAGAGGAAGCAGAGATGCAACACTTCGGTACGTGTGCACATCTGTGTGTGCAAATCTCTGTGTGTGTGTGTGTGTGTGTGTGTGTGTGTGTGTGTGTG